ACAATATCAAGGAATGTATAGAATCAAGAATCAGGTATATGTGTGTGGATATGTATGGTAGTAACACCTAAGAGAGCATATGGTGTAATGGGCCAAGTATTGAATGGGGACTCTGAAGACCTGGGTTTTGGCTAGTCTGTGTGGGCCTAGCCAAATACTACAGCTTCTCTGCCCCTCAGTTTCCTCAGGCATAAAATGAGAGGGTTGGATTAGATGCTTCCTTACGTCCTTTCCAGCCCTAAAAACTGATGACTCATTCATTTGGAATGTGGGAGAGAATGTATGAAAATTCCAATTAGTGAGCCAAGTCATACAATATTTAAAAGAAAAGTTTCATTGCTTTTGGATACAAAAATGGGAATTAGCAAGTGGAATGAGGTCAAGTAATGAAAAAATAATGATTCACAATAGGCCTGCATTATATAATAATGTATTGGAAATGTATTAAAGTCTTGACTGACTTATCCCCATGGCCCCAGGTAGTTTCCAACCATTCAGATTCGATAAGAATCTGAATTATTCCAAATCCCAATGTAGTGAGATTGGAATCAAAGAATCTCAAAGTAGGAAAGGTTTCCCTGGGATCTCTTTGAGCATCACTGAGAATTCCTAAGATCACAACTTTGGAGCTGGAAGGAATTAGTCCAGCCTCCTAATTTAACAGATAAGAAAATTCAGGTCCCTAGCAGTTCAAAGACTTGTCCAAGCATACACAGGTATTAATCATCATAGATGAATTTGAACCCTGGTCCTCTGCTTTGGGGCAGCTAGGTGCTGCAGTGGATAGAACACTGGGTCTGGAGTCAGGGAGACTTACCTTCAAATCTATGTGACCTTGGGCAAGTCACTTAACCCTGTTTGCCTCAGTTTCCTCATCTTTAAAATGAGCTGGAGAAGGAAATGGCGAACCTCCCCAGTATCTTTGCCAAGACAATCCCAAACAGAGTCATGAAGAGTCAGACATGACTGAAAAATAACTGAACAACAGCAACCTCTGATCTTAGGTCTGGTGTTCACATGATCTGCTTCTCAGGACTGGAATAGCTCGAAAGCCCTGAGTTTATTTTAAATTATGATTACTTTTAGCCCTGCCCCTAGTCTTCTCTGTGACCTGGGTGGGGAAGCACTTCCCCTCTCTCTCAGACTCCTTTAGAAAATAAGGAGGTTGGAGTTGACATCCTCCCAGGGTCCCTCTAGCTTCTGAGTCGTAATCTGGGCTGCCATCACACATTCACTTAGCACGTATTTCCTCGGCTCCTATTTTGCCACCAGAAAGGCTCTTTATGAATGGGTCTTGGGGGTGGGGAGGAAGACAAGAAGAGGAAGGGTAGGCAACAGGAAATCCCATTGATAACCCAGGAAATCCATCCAGAGTAATCGATGGCTGGGTTAGGGAGAGGGCAACAGCTGGCAGGACTCTGCCTCTTTATTCCAAACTGAGGAGCTTACAACAGCAGAAACATGGACACTTTAAAAGATCAGAATGGGATTTGAGGATTAACGTGTTTATACCAAAAGGCATAGCTTCCCTTCCCCATGCCCACTCCATCAGATGGGCTGAAAGTCTTTGGCATTACATCTACTCTTTGGGTGTCGACTCAAGACGCAGTATGGAAGATTTGACTTGGAGTCTGGAAGGCCTGGGGTGGAAGCTGCTACCCCCCTCCCCCATGCACCCTGGCACATACTTACTAGCTCTGTGACTCTGGCTAAGTCCCTTAACTGTCCTGGGCTTCCACTTTCAGTTCTAAATTCAGGATCCTAACTCAAAAGAGGTAGGCCATACTGTGCTCCTCAGTCAGACATAAGGGCAGTTCCATGACTGCTCCACAGGAAATGTTCTCCCTCCCCCTCCACCACCTTCTTTTGATGGCGAAAGGCAGATTTTCACTTTGTTTGAGAGGTTCTCTCATTGTTTGCCAACCTTCACCCCATCCCCCACCCCCATCATTCCTTGATTAATGAACTTAGATCTCAGGCCTTTATCAGACAGGTTGATCAGACTCATCCTTGTTCAGACAGGTGTAAATATGCAGACAGACACCCCCTCACCCCCACCCCCAAGACTTCCCAAAGGCAGGTTTACAATCACACAAGGATCATATATTAGAATTACAGCTAGGAGAGGTCTCAAAAGTCCTCTAGAGCAACCCCCTCATTTTACAACTGAGGAAATGGATTTGGACCTAGGTCTTTCAACTGCAAATCCAGTGCTCTGGCAGCTAAGTGGTACAATGGTAGAGCACCAGGAGCTCTTCATAGTAGAGCACTTCCTGGAGTCAGGAAGACTCATCTTCCTGAGTTCAAATCCAGCCTCAGACACTTACTGGCTGTGTGACCCTGGGCAATTCACTTAAACCTGTTTGCTTCAGTTTCCTCATCAGTAAAATGAGCTGGAGAAGGCAATGGCAAACCACTCCAGTATCTTTGCCAAGAAAACCCCAAATGGGGTCATGAATTGTTGGATATGACTGAAAAACGACTGAATCAAGTAATAGAACCTAGATTTGAATCCAGGCTCTCTGACTCCAAAGCCAGTATTCCCCCCCTCTCCATGATACTATATTGCTTCTATCCTGACTTCATCTTCCTGCCCTGCCTACACTGCAATGTTGAGAAAGAAGTGTCAACTCCTAAGAACCTAAAAGTGTTGCCAGACTAGCCCAGCTCAGTCTCCACCCCCTTCCCCACTTCCCTCCCAAGAGGGTCCAGACACAAGAGCTTCAGCACTGGTACTCTTTGCCTGTCAGGTTCAGGCTGAGGGTACCCCATGTCTATCCAGGAGCCTTTTCTAATCTACTATAAACAAATGGAGAAGATTAAGCTGTTACCTTCTTTCCAAAAGCTCCCCTGGCCCTTGTTCACATCCCCCACCCCTACCCTGTTGCTCAGCTTCTTTCCTCACCCCCAACCCCAATGGGAAGTAGATGCTGGCTGTGCTCCAAACTAAAAGCACTCATCTGCCTATAATTAGCCCACTTCTTTGCCAGAATCAGGTCCATTCTGCTTCAAAGATCAAAGAAGATCTGCTAAATCCCCATCGAAGTAGGAGAAGTCCTAATAAGATGAGGGTGTCAGGTTCCCAGGTCATAGGCCCACAATCTGTAAGAAATCACTGGACAGTTTGATTTGGGGCCAGAGGTGGGGCTCAGAGCTCCCTCTCAGGCACAGATTCTTCACTTGGGCTCCATGAACCCCTGGATACATGTTAGAGGGTAAAACTTGGGTTTCACTAACCTCTCACTGAAAATTTGCATTTCTTCAGTTATTTACAGACCTGACTCTGAGAAGGGGTCCATTGGCTTCATCAGAATGCCCAAAGAGCCCAAGAGTTCTTTAAGAATCCCTAGTCTCAGCTGTGCATGGATATGCTTCACAAATGATTGTAAAGGCAGCAACATTGACACTACTCAATCTCTCCCGCCTTCCTTCCAGGGGTCCTGTCTCAAGTCCCAACCCCCAGAGGCTCATGTTGTTCAAGGCACACATTCTCTTGAAGGCAGCCACTCAGGCTTGCTCTTCCCACACCAAGCAAGGGGCACCACTGCCCTTTGGAGGAGACACATACACTATGTGGACCATGGCTAGTCTGATCCTGCTGAAATTACTTACAAACTTTATGTGGTATACTCCTCCTTCTGAATTTCTTGAACTAAGAGATGAGCAAACAGATGAGTACAGTAGGGCAACCCAGGGAAGGAGAAGAAGTAACTTGGTGGCTTCTATCTCACCTTCCCTTTATTTCTGATGATCTCTTTTCTCTTTCCTCCTACTTTTCTTTCCTCTTTCTTATCTCTTGTCTCTACTTCTCTCTCTCTACCACTTCTCCCTCTTCTATCTTATCATCTTTCCCTCCTTTCTTCCAGTCTCCTTTTTCTCCCTCCTATGTCATTCTTCCTTTGTCTCTTATTTTTTCCTTTCTTCTGTTTCTACTCTTTCCTGTCTCTAATTATCTCTTCTCTCTACTTAGTCTTCCCCCCTTTCTTTTCTACCTTCTATTTTACCTTCATCTCACTCTTTTCTCCCCTCTCCATCTTTCAATCTTTCCTCTGTTCTGTCTCTTCTCTTTCTCCTCTCTCCTCTTGCTTTTATTTTGTCTCTATTTCCCTCCTTATCATTTCTCCCTCTCTCCTCTTTCTGCTTTCCTTTCTCTTCCTTCTATTTTCTCTCTTATCTCTCTCACCTTTCTTCTTCTCTTCTCTCATTTCCTTCTCTTTTCTTTCATGTCTCTTCCCTCTCGTCTCTCCACTGTTTCCCTCATTTCTCCATCTTTGCCTTCTATCTCTCCTTTTCTCTCTTCATCATCCTCACTTTCACTTTTCCATTCTCTCTTTCTACCTTCCTGTTTCCCAAATTTGGTATGTCTTCATCTATGTCTTCATCCAATAACTGAGTAGACAACAAAAAAGATAAACCAAATAAGACCATCAACAGATCCCCGGAAGCACAACACTAGAGATTTCCATTTAATCCCCACTGACTGGATGAGTACAATCCATTAACCAGTCCCAAACCAGTTCAAGAATCTACTACTATCTAGTCCTCATCATCCCATCTTGTCCATCAAGATATATCAGTGAGATGGGATGGGGGGAAGACCTTATCAAAGGCCACAGCATTTCTTTACTAGTCTGATAATAGAATCCGATTAGTCTAGCATGACTTTCTTGATAAGCT